GCTTAATAAACTAATAAGCTCTCCTTCATTCATTGCTTTGTAGAAGCTCTGCCTCAAGTGTAAACCTACCTTCTTATTACCAGCTTAGGTTAGGCAGTTTCACTTCTCAGACCAATGCAAAGCAGGGTTTGAAGAGAGGATTGTTTTTAAAAGGTAACCTTCTGAGCTCAGGTCATACAGGGAAGAAAGGAGTGACATGTAAAAAAGACAAGGAGGAGAGCAGTTCAAGGACCTTCCTAGCTGTCCCGCTCAAGTCCTGCCTCTTGTATGTACTCAACGGAGGTTTGTTGAAAGATGGAGGAAGGGAGAGAGGAAAGAAGGGGGAAGTACATTATCACTATGAGTAATTTAACTTAATTATCCAATCTCTGCTTTGATTTTAACATGACATTATTGAGGTCTAGAATTGAGGCCAAGTCACTTTTTTTTTTTTTTTGAGACAGGGTCTCACTCTGTCACCCAGGCTGGGGTGCAGTGGTGTGATCATAGGTCACTGCAGCCTCAGGCTCCTGAGCTCAAGTGATCCTCCTGCCTCAGCCTCCCAAGTAGCCAGGACTACAAATGTGTGCCACCATGCATGGCTAATTTTTTAAAAGATTGTGTGGAGATGAGGTCTTACTATGTTGTCCAGGCTGGTCTTGAACTCCTGGACTCGAGTGATCCTCTGTCTTGGCCTCCCAAAGTACTGGGATTACAAGTGTGAGCCACTGCACCCAGCCTAGTCACCCATTTTTAAAATGGGTATGTTGAGCTCCAGGTAAATAAAACCTTTAGGTGAGCTCATTATATCCCTTCATCCAATTAGGAATAAAGAAGGACATCTTTACAGACAAGTGTCTGCTGGATTCAGAAAAACTCAGAACAGGAGTGGTTTCTTTTGTCAAGGAACTCAGGGGTTGTGAGGTTCTGGAGTCTCCGAACTGCCAGTGGTCAGGTTTGTTTGTAGACAATGATTTGAATGCTTTCGACCTTTGCCTGCCATTAACTTCGAGTGAGCAATTCAGTTCATTTACTGTCTTCTGGCCCAGAATTTAACTAATGCTTTCCAAACGCAGATAAGACATCAGAATCAGGTAACAGATACTATAGCTCTCCTTTGGACTATAGCCCCCATGAGGGCAACAACCTCAATGTTTCATTCACCATCAAATCATCAACTGCTGCACACATTAGCTACTCAATAAATATTTGTTGATTGAATGAGTGAATTTCTATAAGAGAATAAAGGTGATCAAATACCAAGACCCACCATTAAATAATTTTCTAAACAATTCTTCCTTCTCCATGAAGTTTTAATTGATGAAAAAAAATTTTTTTTTGAGACAGAGTCTGTCTCTGTTGCCCAGGCTGGAGTGCAGTGGCATGATCTTGGCTCACTACAATCTCCGCCTCTCAGGTTCAAGTGATTCTCCAGCCTCAACTTCCCAAGTAGCTGGGATTACAGGCATGCACCACCATGCCCAGCTAATTTTTGTATCTTTAGTAGAGACGGGGTTTCACCTTATTTGTCAGGCTGGTCTTGAACTCCTAGCCTCAAGTGATCCACCCGCCTCAGCCTCTCAAAGTGCTGGGATTGCAGGCCGAATTTTTTTTCTGTGAGTAAAGTCATTTCCCTTTTCTTTTTGCTACCCAGTGAGCTGTCTGAATTCCTTAGTCAGGCATTTGAAGTCCTCTGTGATAAGCACTCAAGTTACTCTCTTAGAATTACTAACTTTCACCTGACTCCAGTGATCCAGGTAAAATAGGCGATTAATCCCTCGTTTTTTTTTTTGGAGACTGAGTCTTGGTCTGTGGCCCAGGCTGGTGTGCAGTGGTGCCATCTTGACTCACTGCAACCTTTGCTTCCTGGGCTCATGCGATTCTCCTGCCTTAGCCTCCGGAGTAGCTGGGACTACAGGTGTGTACCACCACGCCCAGCTAATTTTTTGTATTTTTAGTAGAGAGGGTCACTGTGTTAGCCAGGTTGGTCTCAAGCTCCTGACTTTGTGATCTGCCCACCTCAGCCTCCCAAAGTCCTGGGATTACAGGTGTGAGCCACCACGGCCGGCCTACTCTCTATTTTTATAAAATAGGCCTCACATTTCTGCTATTTGATTTCCTCTGACCCAGGTCAAATCCTGTCTTCTCTGTTAGGACTTCTCTAAGATTGCCTTGGTGCACATAGTGATGGCTTCCCCAGTAGCCTGGTCTCTTTTTCACTTGTCCAATTTTCCATTTGAGAATGAAAAGAAGCCCAACTCCATTACTGGGATTCAAGGAGGAAGACAGGGATGAACCCAAGCTTACCTCCTGACCATGGATGTTGATTTCTGGATGGGCATGAGGTTCAGTTGAAACCAGAGCCTGAGTCAGACAGAGACACACCTTTGCTGTAAGGTGCTCACCTTCCCTGGATAAGGTGGAGAGGCATGTAGGCCTGGAAATTGTTGGCAGCCGTCTTGGGTGGATGGAGCTGACATGATGGAGGCAGAGAAAGAAGCTGGTCTTGTACAGCATCACTGAGTCCCACAAAGCCCATCTTCTACTAGGCATCCTTCCACTAGCCAATAAATCCTTATTGTTTACACCAGTTTGAGGTTTTTGTTGTTGTTATTTGCAACTGTTTTGACCCCTTTTTTTTGAGACAGAGTCTCACTCTGTCACCCAGGCAGTGGTGTAGTCTTGGCTCATTGCAACCTCCACCTCCTGGGTTCAAGAGAGTCTCCTGTCTCAGCCTCCTTACAAATTGGCAAATGTTGTCTCCTTAACATTTTTTTTTTTTTTTTGAAGATGGAGTTTCACTCTTGTTGGCCCATGCTGGAGTGCAGTGGTGTGATCTTCTTGGCTTACTGCAACCTCTGCCTCCCTGGTACAAGCAATTCTCCAGCCTCAGCCTCTCAAGTAGCTGGGATTACAGGTGCACCCCACCGTGCCTGGCTAATTTTTTATATTTTTCATAGAAACAGGGTTTCACCATGTTAGCCAGGCTGGTCTTGAACTCCTGACTCGAGGAGTGATCCACCTGCCTTGGCCTCCCGAAGTGCCGGGATTCCAGGTCTGAGCCATTGTGCCTGGCCAACATTTTTTCATAGAACTTACTATAGACTTCCCATTGGTATATAGGAATAATATCCTAATAAATACACACATGTATTTATATGTTGCTGTAGAATCTAGTACAGTGATTTTTTCCCCCCAGTCTGGCTAAACAAATTCATTTATTAAAGGAAATGAATCTTTCAAGGGTAGGTAAATTTCAGTGATTAGAGTTAACCTGGGTCAATAATCTACTTTATGTCTATGGAAATTTTATAGTATGGTTTAAGAATCTTATATAAATATAAGAGCTAAAATCATAAAACTCTTAGAAGAAAACAAAGGTAAATATTCATGACCTTGGATTCTGCAATAGATCTTTAGATACGATGCTAAAAGCACACAACAAAAGGAAAAAAATAAATTGGACTTCATCAAGATGGAAACTTTCGTACATCAAAGGACATGATCAATAGAGCGAAAAGACAACCTAGAGAATGGGAGTAAGTGTTTGCAAATCACGTATCTGATGAGGGTCAGCATATACAAAGAACTTTTACAACTCAACAAAGAAGACAAACAACCCACTTCAAAAATGGGCGAAAGACTTGAATAGACATTTTTCCAAAGAAGAGACTCATGGCCAATAAGGACATGGAAAGATGCCCAACATTACCAGTCATTAGATGCAAGGCGGCCAGGTGCAGTGGCTCATGCTGGCAATCCCAGCCCTTTGGGAGCCCAAGATGAGCAGATCATGGGCTCAGGAGGTCAAGAGTAGCCTGACCGATATTGCGAAACCTCATCTCTACTAAAAATACAAAAATTAGCTGGGCTTGGTAGCACGTGCCTATAATCCCAGCTACTCGGGAGGCTGAGGCAGGAGAATTGCTTGTACCTAGGAGGCACAGAGGTTGCACTGAGCTGAGATTGCACCACTGCATTCCAACCTAAGTGACAGAGTGAGACTCCATCTCAAAAAAAAAAAAGAGGCCGGGCACGGTGGCTCAAGCCTGTAATCCCAGCACTTTGGGAGGCCGAGGCGGGTGGATCACGAGGTCAAGAGATCGAGACCATCCTGGTCAACATGGTGAAACCCCGTCCCTACTAAAAAAAAAAAAAAATACAAAAATTAGCTGGGCATGGTGGCGCATGCCTGTAATCCCAGCTACTCAGGAGGCTGAGGCAGGAGAATTGCCTGAACCCAGGAGGCGGAGGTTGCGGTGAGCCGAGATTGCACCATTGCACTCCAGCCTGGGCAACAAGAGCGAAAACTCTGTCTCAAAAAAAAAAAAAAAAAAAGAACTCGCAAGGTACCACTTCACACTCACAAGGATGGATACAATCACAAAAACAGAAAATAACAAGCGGTAGAGGGGAGGTGAAGAAATTGGAACGCTTATGCACTGTTGGTGGGAATGTAAAGTGGCAGAGGCACTGTGGAAACAGTTTGGCAGTTCCCCAACAATAGATACAGAATTACCATATGGTCCTGCATTTCCACTCTTCAGCATATTCCCAAAATGACTAGAAAACAGGTCCTCAAAATAAATAAATAAAAATACATGTACACCCATGTTCACAGCAGCACTATTCACAGTAACCAAAGGGTGGAACCTCAAATGCCCATCGACAGAAGAATAAACAACTGTGCTGTATAGAAACAATGGAATGCTATTCGGTCATGAAGATAAATGAAGTATGGATACAAGCCGTCATATGCGTGAGCCTCGGAAATGTTATGCTCAGTGAAAGAAGACAGACACACACGGTCACATGCTGTATGATTCCATTTATATGAAGTATTCAGGGTAAATCCAAAGTGACAGAGAGCGGTTTGAAGGTTGCCAGGAACTGGAAGATGAAAAATGGAGAGTAACTGCTTACTGGCTATGCGGTTTCCTTTTGGGGCTATGAAAATATTCTGGAACTAGATAGAGGCGGTGGTTGTAAACATTAGGAATATACTAAATGCTGCTGAATGATTCACTTGAAAAACAGTTGATTTTATTTTATGTGAATATCACCTTAAAAACAGCAACAAAATCTTATATGACTGAGTCATCGGGGCAAGACATACTGACATACTTTCAATGCTCAGCTATCAAACAGTTTCAACAACAAAAATGAATAAATACTCTGATTCTCAACTAAACTGTCAAAATTAAGATGGCAGAAAGCAATGTTACCCAAAGCGTATGATGTGTTCTACTGATGGTAGATAAGATGGCAAAGGCTTTAAATAACCTTGCCGCACATAGTGAGAAATTTAATTTTTCAGAGATTTTATTCACCCTTTAGTTCTTGTGAATGTATCAGTGAGTCTCAATTTGCCGTTAGGAGGTTTGCTGTTAGTACAAGTAACATGCTCATGGCACCTTTGAAGAAAGAGGAGTGGGCTTCAGGCTCGGAGCCCTTTGCTAACTGGTTTTAATATCACTGTTTGGTTTTCTGTGTGTTCATTTTTACTTTTATCTTCCATTTATGTAGCAAAACAGTTTTGAGATCTGCATTATGCTTTATGATGCAAAATTTCTTTACATTTATTTACATAGAAATGTGAGTCCACTTAAAGAAAAACAGTAGGCTGGATGCAGTGGCTCACGCCTGTAACGCCAGCACTTTGGGAGGCCGAGGTAGGTGAATCATGAGGTCAGGAGTTCAAGACTAGCCCGGCCAACATGGTGAAACCCCATTTCTATTAAAAATAGAAAAAATTAGTTGGGTGTGATGGCACGTGCCTGTAATCCCAGCTACTCAGGAGGCTGAGGCAGGAGGATTGCTTGGACCTGGGAGTCAGAGGTTGCAGTGAGCCAAGTGTGTCATTATATTCCAGGCTGGGTGAGACCCCATCTCAAAAAAAAAAATAAAAGAAAAATAATAAACAATAATTATCAATAAATGGTTATGAAGATTTGGGGGGAAGTGGAACTTGGATGATTAAATAGGACACACTGACATAAAAAGGAAGTGTACCCTAGATTTGAGATATGAGGTTCTAAGTCTCTTGCCAGCCTTGCAACTTTGAGCCTACCTCACAGAGCTTTTATGGAAAGTGCTGTACAGGTGTAAATTTCTATTATTAGCAAATGACTATTTGTTTAGGGTGTTTATGTGCTTCACAGAGTCTGGGAACTCTGGAGCTGCATTTCCCAGGGTCTCTAGCCAGCACAGTTCTGATAAGGTTTAGGTTGAGCCAGTGAGGAGCACTCAAGGATTTGGAAGACACAGGAGCATTTCATCCTTTGGCAATAGTGGCATCTGACACAAGGGGTTTGACAAATATAAACCTTTTTTTTTTTTTTAGATGGAATCTCCCTCTGTTGCTCATGCTGGAGTACAGTGGCGCGATCTTTGCTCACTGCAACCTTCGTCTCCCGGGTTCAAGCGATTCTCCTGCCGCAGCCTCCCAAGTAGCTGGGACTACAGGCGCACGCTGCCACACCTGGGTAAGGTTTTGTATTTTAGTAGAAATGGGGTTTCACTGTATTGTTCAGGCTGCTCTTGAATTCCTGAGCTCAGGTAATCCACCCGCCTCGGCCTCCCGAAGTGCTGGGATTACAGGCGTAAGCCATCACACTCAGCTGACAAATTTAAACTTTTGCAGTGAAGCTAGATCTCAAAGACCATCCCTGGCAGTCCCCAGCTTCTGAGCTGTAAGGAGAGCAGCTGTGACATGGACAGTGATTATCTGTCATTTATTGCAATTTCTGATCTCTGGGTACAGCACCTTCCTGACACTGGGCCCACAGGTGTTGTGGAATAACTTGAAATTAGTGGTGCTACCTTCTCAGCTTTTACCCATTCACTCCTTCCAAAGACTTTGTATGCCTCTGATTCCCTGGAATGAATGTCTTCCCAATGGTGATACTTTGAGTAGTTTCTTTTCTCCTGTCTGAACTCTCATTGAGATATTATTTGTTTCATTGAATTTATTAAAAAACTAAAATTTCTCCTAGGTGCACTGGCTCATTCTGGTAATCCTAGCACTTTGGGAGGCTAAAGTGGGAGGACAGATTGAGGCCAGGAGTTTGAGACCAGCCTGAGCCACAAAGCAATTTTAAAGAATAGCCAGGCATGGTGGCACACACCTGTACCCCTAGCTACTTGGGAGGCTGAGGCAGGAGGATTGTTTGAGCCCAGGAGTTTGAAGTGACAGTGAACTATGATTTTTCAGCACACTCCAGTTGGGGCAACAAAGTGAGACCGTGTCTCTAAAAGCAAAAACAAAAACACAAATACCTGACATTTTAATAATAATAGTTAATGTTTGTTGAGTATTTACTAACTACTAGTCATTTTACATGCATGATCTCATTTGGTTCTCATAAGGACCCTATGAGGTCGTTTCTTTTACTCTCTGTATTTTGCTGAAGAATAAACTGACGCAGAGGGTTTTACAACCGATCCAAGTGTCAGAGCTGGCAAACAGCAGATCCAGGATTTGAACTCAGGTGGTCTAACGCCAGGGAGTGTTCGATTACACTCTATTGTAGAGTAATAAAATAAAGTTCTCTGTGCAGTAAAGTTCACCTTAGGTCTTCTTCAGAAGATAGAGTCTTTTTTAGGTCTGAAATGAAAAGTACCTCAGATATCAGAAGTTCTGATTTTTAGAAGGGTGATACAGCTTATGTACTGTGTACTATTTATGAGGGTCACAAGTGGGATCTGTGCCAGCACCTTCTCACGAAACGAAGACTTCTGCAACAAAAATGAGTGTTCATATTAAACAAGATAAAGACCCTAAAGAGCCAAAGGAAAGTTCAATTGGTTTTCAGAGCCTTGTAGATGAGGAATTGTGGACCTGTAATTTTCATGAGGCATAAACAAGCAGAAAAGAGAAGCTAAGCACATACATATAAATATGCTTATGCATGTGCGCGTGCACGCGCGCACACACACACACACACACACACGTTCTCATCTGTTGTCTCATTTTCATTGATTCTTTAGCCTTGCTACTTGTGACCACCACTTCTTTCTCCTTTTTAGTCAAAGTATGTGGGCAAGGACTTATTTCATATCTAAGTCAAATGCAATTGCAATTATATTTACAGATTCCAAGAGATGGAAGTCATTACATTGTTTCACAAAGTATTGGCCCCCCCCCAAGAAAAGGCTCAGACAAAAGTAGCAATTTAGTGAAAAAAACAAACAAACAAAAAAAAAACCCTTGAATACCTTAGGATCTGCTTCAATTCACTCTATTCTTCTATAACTTGTCATTTTTATACAGCACTTCTGTTAATTTTGATGAAATTATTTATTAAATTTTAGCTAAAACATGCTAAAGGCACTAGCATTGTATTTTTAATCAATGCATTCCAGTTGTCTGCAGGTGTGTAACGAACCACCCTAAGCTCGAAAGCATAACACAGCAATTTGTTATGACTTTCATGGCTCCATGGGGTTGAATGAGCTCACCCGAGATATCCTCACTTGGGATTTCTTGTGGGATCACACAGCTGGGGCTTGAGGCATCTGAAGACTTAACTGTGCTGGACATTCAGGATGCCCAATAGCAGTGAATGCTGGCTGCTGGCTGAGGACTCAGCTGAGGTTGTCATCCAGACCAGCTACCTGTGGCCATGTGACTTGGGCTTCTTTCAAGATGGCACCTGAGTTCCTGGAGGGAGTGTGCCAAGTATTTCAGAGGCCCAGGTGGAAGCTACAAAACTTATAATCTAGCCTTAGAAATCACTCAGCATCACCTCCTCCAGAGTCTTGTGAAAAGTGAGTCACAGAGCCGGCCCAGACTCAAGAGGAGGGTGAGGTAAAAGGGTGTGAATATTGGAAGGCACAGTTCACTGGGAGGCCATCTGTGAAAACGGTTGCCACACAATTTATAAAGACTTATGAAAACAGGGGTTTAAAGGTTAATTCAAAGGTCATATATACAAAGGCAAGAGTTTTATTCTTCTAAAACAGAGACAAAAATGCCACAAAATTATACTTCATTTTTTCCAATGTCTTAAAATACTTCTTAGTATAACTCTGCTTGGTGAGACTTAACAAGAAATAAGTAAATGGCACGGCGTCTAAGAAGTGGCCAAATGGATGCCTGCAGAATGGCAACCGTAAGTTGAGCAGGCAGAAGAAATTCTCTAAAGCTGTAAAAACATATTGAGACACTTTTCAAATGATATAACGTCATTATAGATTTCTGGCAAACCATGATGACTATTTTGATATGTAATCAGGAACAGGGTGTCTTGTGAGCAAAGGAGCAGAGGAGATCATGAAAGGCAGCTTTTATAGTTGAAAAGCAGTCAGTCCTAATTTTTTTTTTTTATTTTTTGACATGGAGTCTCTCTCTGTTGCTCAGGCTGGAGTGCAGTGGCACCATCTAGGCTCACCGCAACCTCCACCTCCCTGGTTCAAGCATTCCCCTGCCTCAGTCTCCCGAGTAGCTGGGATTACAGGTGCATGCCACCATGCCCGGCTAATTTTTTTGTATTTTTAGTAGAGACGGGGTTTCACCATGTTGGCCAGACTGGTCTCGAATTCCTGATCTCAGGCGATCTGCCCACCTCGGCCTCCCAAAGTGCTGGGATTACAGGTGTGAACTGCCTCGCCCGGTCCTAATTTTTTTTCTTTTGAGTCACGGACCCCTTTGAGCATACAAAAAAAAGTTAGGAACTTTCTGCCCAGAAAACATACATGTTTTGCATATTTTTTTCTTTTTTTCTTTCAGTCATGCTGTCCTCCCTCCTTCCTTCCTTCTCTCCCTCTCACCTTCTTTCCTTTCATTCTTTCGACAAATATTTATAGGGAGCTAATTCTGTGTTAGGTACTGATCTGGAGCAAGGAATAGAGAAGGGCAGAAGACAGATAAGTTCCCCAGTCTCCTGGCATGTACATTCTGAAGACAGGGAGTCAGAAAGAAATGCAGTACACCAACAAGTAAGACAGCCTCAGGACTACAGGTAACAAACTGTGTTACTTACCATGTTATGGGGTTCACAGCCCTTCCTTGGGCTCCTCTTCCTCACACTGCAATCAATAACTTCTCTTTTAAACTACAGGCTTTGGGCCAGGCGTGCTGGTTCACGCCTGTAATCCCAGCACTTTGGGAGGCCGAGGTGGATGGATTACCTGAGGTTAGGAGTTCCAGACCAGCCTGGCCAACATGGTCAAATCCTGTCTCTACTAAAAACACAAAATATTAGTCAGGCATGATGGCACATGCCTGTAGTCTCAGCTTTGGGAGGCTGTGGCAGGAGAATCACTTGAACCCAGGGGGTGGAGGTTGCAGTGAGCCCAGATTGTGCCACTGCACTCCAGCCTGTGGGACAGAGTGAGACTCTATCTAAAAAACAAAAAAACAAAACAAAACAAAAAAGCTTTGTGTATGAGCAGTGTGAATGTGGCTGTTGGTTACCCACTGCTTTTTCATTTATAAACAGATGTTGACTGATCTTTTTTTCATCCATAAAGAATAATTATATGCAGTGCCATTGCAGGTGACTTTCCTAATCAATAGAAGAGCACTGGCTTCTCATGAGATTTCAGAAATTGCCATGGCTGGTGAGCATGAATATGAGCATTGCAGTGCTTTCCACAGTCTTATTTAAAAAAAAAAAAAATTCTTCCCTTAGGGAACTATCTGCTTACCTCCCTTAAAAAAATTAAATGGATCAAATGGCCATGGATTCACATTTCAAAGTCTCAATTTACAGGAGACTCGAAGAACTGACCCTTTCATCCATATTTTGCAGATGATAGTGAAGGATAATTTGCTTTGGAGAATGTTTTCCTCCATGTTCTATGTTCTTATGTCCTCACCACAAATTATACTTCTGGCCGTAGTTATTACAGGCTCCAGTGGGGGATTTAAACCTGTACTTTTACCACTGGCAACATTTTAAATATTGTCATTAGCATAACACATAACTTTTGCAAAGATGAAATGCAAATATTCATCTCTCTTATTCCATGATGATGTACGAGAGGCGGTCCTAGACTTTTGTATTTGTGAAATGTTTTAAATGGTAACACAAATCGTTAGACCATACTTCTTTTTACTTTTTGGTATGTTCCTGCTATAGAGCTTTCACCCTCTCTTCATTTGAAGGGTATTTTAATATGTGGCATGTCATGTTAGAGTGAATACAATCACAGAGTGAATATAATCTATCTGTGATTGTTTAGAGCAGGGATTGACAAAGTACAGGTGAGGTGACATGGTTGACATTTTGACTTGGGGAAAAAAATTGGGGGATTTCTGAACTGTAATAATGCCGTAGAGTCAGAGTGCTATTATGAAAGGATGCAGTTGAGACAAGGATGCTCATATTCAAGTCCAAAACAGTGTTTAAAATTAGCCAGATAATTTATGGAAAAAACATATCTGAAATTTCCAGTTTATCTTGCCAAGCAAGCCTGGGGACAGGGTTGTTCATCCAAAAATCTCATTAACTCATTAACTAGTGACTTGGGGTTCTTATCCATGATGTTTGCAGTGGTGTCCCTTGACCGATGTCTTTTTATTTTTATTTTTTTATTTTTGAGACAGGGTCTCTGTCGCACAGGCTGGAGTGCAGGGGCGCAATCTCAGCTCACTGCAGCCTCCACCTCCTGGGTTCAAGTGATTCTCCCATCTCAGCCTCCTGAGTAGCTAGGACTATAGGCATGCACCACCACACCCAGCTAATTTTTGTACTTCTTGGTAGAGATGGGATTTTGTCATGTTGGCCAGGCTGGTCTCGAACTCCTGATCTCAAGTGATCTGTCCACCCTGGCCTCCCAAGACTGATATCTCTTGAGCATCTCTGTGGTTCCAAGGTCTCCTTACGTGTTGGGAGATCACAATCATAGCAATTTAATTCAGTAAGCATTTACTAAGGAATTTTTACATGCAAAGCAGTCTGCTGGGTCCAGCAGGGGCTACAAAGAGATTTGAGTGAGGGCTTTTGCGTGTCAAGAATTGAGAATAGCCCAAACTGGGTAATTTCTAATCTGGAAATCCTGTAACTTTTGGAGAAGTATTTGGTTGTTGAAAAGATTTCCTATTTCTTTCTAACTCTGGTGTGCTTTTAGCCCCTCAATTCATATATTAAATGAATTATGCCATTTTTCTATCAGGATCATAAAAACTAATACTAGTCTTTACAAACCTGGTTTAAACGAATGAAAGAAGCCCCAAAGGGAAGTAGACACTTGTATTTTCTTATACTGTGTATACACAGTCATGTGCCACATAACATTGTTTTGGTTGGATGGACTGCATATACATTGGTGGTCCTTAAGGTTATAATGGAGCTGAGAAATTCCTGTGGCCTAGTGATGTCATAGCCACGGTAACATTACAGCCCAATGTGTTACGTTGTCTATGTTGAAATACACAAATTCTTCCCATTGTGTTGCACTTGAATGAGGGCTCTTGCTTGTCAAGAATTGAGAATAGCCCAAACTGGGTAATTTCTAACCTGGAAATTCTGTAACTTTTGGAGAAGTATTTGGTTGTTGAAAAGATTTCCTATTTCTTTCCAACTCTGGTGCACTTGCCTACAGTGTTCAGTATAGTCACATGCTGAACAGGTGTAGCCTAGGAGCAGTAAGTCATAGCTTATAGACTAGCTGTGTAGGAGGCTCTACCATCTAGGTTTGTGTAAATATACTCTATGATGTTCCCACAATGATGAAACTGCCTAAGGATGAATTTCCCAGACTGTATTGCTGGGTATCCCTGTCATTAAGATTACAATACTTGAGAGCTAGAAAGAGGCTTGGAGACCAACTAAAACTTAATTGGAGTCACAGTTCTTAAAGCTTGGGTACTAACAAAGAGCCTGTGACCCTTCTCCTTCCACCCTTCCTTCCACCCCTCCTGTGAGATATTGGGCACAGCAGTTTCTTCGTGTCAGTTTTCACTAGCTGGAAAAGAGATAGAAAAACAAAGGTGCAGGATTGCCAGCTTCAGTAATTCTAGTTCCTGTACTCAAGGACAGGAAGCCTCTTAGTTACTTGCACACCCTAACTTTTCTAGCTTCGATTGAATAAATCATTTAACTGTCAGCTAATTACGGTTTGGGGAAGTTGACATCATTCATCTTTTTATGGCACCCCTTAATGGGAGGCTTTGGAGATTAAAACTCTTGACAATTTCCACGATGTAAAAAAGGAAAGCTGACCTACAGAAAGATGGGACAGTGATGAACATTTGAGAAGCTTGAAGCAGCAATGGGATCTGCACAGTAGCCTACTTAAAGTAGTCCTGATGTGAACACCACCTAAGTCCCTGAAAAAATGACAGCAATGTGACCTGTGTCAGTAGCAACGGCATTTGATTGAGCAGATGCTTGCTTTGCACTTACCACCAAGCACTCGTTTGTTCCAGGACAGCCCCATGAGGCAGGTCCTATTGTCATCCCAGTTTACAGATGAAGAAACTGAGGCACAGAGAAAAGCATCCAAGGTCTGACACCTGGTAAGCAGGTGAGTTAGAAAGGAAGAAAAAAGCCAGGCTGGCTCCGGAGACCACGCTCTCGCCCCGTACTCTGCTGACCTCCCCGCGTCTCTGCCATCCTCTGACACGCCGGCTGGACACGCCAGTGCCGCTCGTTTGCGCGCCTCGAAGCCCTGCTCTGGGTCCTGGCCTCCTGCGCCTGCTTCCCGCCGAGGGGCTCCAAGCACCTGCAGTCCTGGACGCGCGTTTCCGAGGCGGGCGGGAGCGCGCACGGCGGGAGCGCGGGAGCGCGGGAGCGGCGCGCACGTGCCGCCGGGAAGGGGCCGCCCGGGGCCGCGCCAAGATGGCGGCGGCCGCGGCCGCTGCGGCGTCGTTTGGCGGCGGCCGGTGAGGCGGGCGGGGCCGGCGGCGCGGAGGCGGGGTCCCGGGCGAGCCGCCCTGGGAGGCGGGGGCCGTTTCCATAGCGGCGGCGGGAGGTGTCGCGCCAGGGAACTTCCTGGTTCCCGGGCTCGGCTTCGCCGGGCTCCTCTTGGAAGGGAAACAATGGGGCGGAGGGCACTGCGGTAACCGCCGCCGCCGCCGCGCCGGACCTGCTCGGCCGCCCGGGACCCCCCAGCTTCGCCGACGGGACCGTCCTGAGGTAACTTCCATCCCTCAGCTCCCGCCGCGAGGGCCGGTGGCGGCGGGCTCCGCGGGCGTCCTCCCCGGGCTGGGACTCGGAGTTGGCCCTGGGGAGCCGGACGCCGCCATTCCCGGCCCCGGGAGGAGGGGACGCGGCTGCGGCTCGCGGCTCGGCCCTGGGGGGCGGCTCGAGCACCGTGCGGGGCCCGGAGCCTGGGGTCCGCGGGGCGATGGGCGGGCGGGGGGCGCCGCGCGGGGTGCGGGGAGGTCCCGGCCGGGCGCGTCTCCCGAGCCCCAGCGGGCAGGACCCGGGCAGACTCGGTGCCTTTCAATGACTGCCCTGATGCCGCGGAACTTTGTTTCGACCGGGCGAGGGGAGGACGGGGCGAATGCGGGATTTGCAAGTCTGGGAAATCCGTGCGCCTCTGCAAAGTTTGCAAAGCAGTTTGGCGCTCACAGCCCTGAGCTGCTGCGGCATTTGTCATGCGTGAGAACGGTTCCCCGCAGGTGCTTCACTGCCGGAAAGTGCGGGAACTGGGTGAATCCACGGGTGCACGTTTGTGTAATTGGAAAACGTTGTCTCTCCCCACCCCACACCCATATCTCTTTCTTTCCCAACATTTAATCGGCGGATAGATGCTTTTTAGGCTAAAGTAGACTTAAGCGTGCTTCCTTGGGACTGGGAAGGCTTGCTGATTGGGGCCATACCCAGCCTTTGGAAATAACGTGAGACAAATGGGGGGGGGAGCGAGGACGCCGTCTTCAGCATGTTACTTGTTGGAGGAAAATGGTTTCAGTCCTTTATTAATCCTTTTACAAAAATAATTACCTCTTTGAGATAGGTATTTAATATTTCATAGCTCAGAAAAGTTACGCAGAACTTTAGAACTCACCCTGGCCAACTCCCTCCTGTGTGGAGTCTCTGGGAAGTTCCTTCAGGGGGAAGTCAGTGTTCTTTTTTCTTTCCTGAAGTCACCTTAATAAGAATAAATTAGCAGCAAGCGAAGAGTGCTTTATTTGCTTTTATTTCTGATTCAGTCAGACCCTAAAGTTAACAAAAATATTTCCTGGTTTGCCATTCTTTTATAATAACATTTGTAAACATGATATAGCTCGTTACTTAAAATGGATGTTGATGCCATGTTGTATTCTACATAGGCAATTAAAATATGTCCAAATAGAAAAAAAATTATATTAATGGAAGTATGAATTAACTTTTAAAGGAAGAAATCCTAATTGCAAGTACAGTCATCCTTAGTTAACAGAAATTCCTTTGCTCATTATATATTTAAAGAATTAATGAGTTATTACGAAGGCAATTAAAGAAACATCATTTGCCAAACATGAAGAATATGGGCACTGAGCCTCAGTTTTGGTGCCTGCTTAGTTTTTACCTATGCAGTCAGACTCTCTGTTGTACTTGTTTCTGGTAAGACTACTCCACTACCAGTTTTAATAATGTTTTGACATCCGAATAGCCCCTCTTGGGGACTGACTTTGGTTAAACAAGCCAGTAAGTAGAAAAGTAGAAGTGTCAGATTTGGCACTATCTGGTGTGTGTGGTTTTTTTAATTTTAATTTTAATTTTTTTTGAGACAGAGTTTCGCTGTTGTTACCCAGCCTGGAGTGCAGTGGCATAATCTTGGCTCACGGCAACCTCCGCCTCCCAAGTTCAAGCAATTGTCCTGCGTCAGCCTCCTGAGTATCTAGGATTACAGGCACATGCCACCATGCCTGGCTAATTTTATATTTTTAGTAGAGGCGTAGTTTCTCCATGTTGCTCAGGCTGCTCTTGGTCTCCCAAACTCAGGTGATCTGCCCACCTCGGCCTCCCGGTGTTGGGTTTACTCACGTGAGCCATCGCGGCCGCTGGTGCTGTTAATTATCTGATCATTCTCTAGTATTACAGGGAACGAAGAGAACTACCCATTCCAGCAGATCCAACCTGAGTCTTCAATGCCAAGCAAGGGTTGTCTTGGTCCATCTTTGCCACCATGTGCACATCTGTGCCAAGTTCCTATTACATTTTGTAGCCAGCAAAGATGGATGAAAAAGAGGCCAATGAGTTCAAGCTAGTAGCAAATTGAAAACAAACAAAATTACTCTGATTAGAAAGTGTGTAGTAGAATAGGAGAACTGTGTAAGATTGCTACTTCAGGTAGAGAGAGAGAGGAGTGATTGCAATTCTGGTTTATGTTCACAGTTTCACTGTAACCATTCTTATTTTGTAACTAGTGCAATGCAGACCTCTAATTACCAGAAGGTTATAGTTTGTTCCTTTGCTGTGATTTTTTTTTTTTTTATTGCATTTTAGGTTTTGGGGTACATGTGCAGAGCATGCAATACAGTTGCATAGGTACACACATGGCAGTGTGTTTTGTTTGCTTTCTCCCCTTCACCCATATTTGGCATTTCTCCCCAGGCAATCCCTCTCCCCCTCCCCCTCCCACTGGCCTTTGCTGTGATTTTTAAAAAGCATAGTCCATGGGTTGCAGTCGCTCATGCTTGTAGTCTCAGCAATTTGGGAGGCTGAAGTGGGTGGATCATTTGAGGTCAGGAGTTCAAGACCAGCCTGGCTAATATGCTGAAACCCTTGTCTCTCCTAAAAATACAAAAATTGGTAGAGTGGTAGTGGCACACTGGGAGGCTGAGACAGGAGAATTGCTTGAGCGTGGGAGGCAAAGGTTGCAATGAGCGGAGATCATCCACTGCACTCCAGCCTGGGCAACAGAGTGAGACTGTCTCAAGGAAAAGAAAAAAAAAAAGAAAGAAAAAAATCACAGTTCATTGTCAGATATGATTCTATTATATTGAGAGACCAATTTTTTCCCTTGAAAAGGTGACTTCTGTGTTTACCGCGGAAGTCGCTATAAGAATAATTGGAAAGGAGTCCAACTTGTAGTACATGTCCATATGGTACATGAGATGATCGCATGGGAATTGGAACCACAGAGGCTTGGATTCTCAGCTGGTCTATGCCAGTTTCAGGTTGTTTCGCCTCATGCAAATGACTCAACTTTTAAAAGCTAATTTCTTTGTAAAATTGGGGAGGATTGTAAATTCACATGTGTTTATTCAACCATTATTTCTTGAGTGCCTTCTGCGTACCCCAGAATTTAGTTTTCAGCAACATGCGGGATGAGTCCTTTGATGTGAAGTACAGGGAGCTATGAAACCCATACCTAGGGAACCTAACTTGTTTTGGGGGAGTTGGAGCAAGTTCTGTGAGGAAGCGACCTATAAGATCTGAAGGATGAGCAGATAACTGTTTGAAAACAAGAGGCGGGTGGGTGGGAAACTTTAAGGGAGCGAGAAGAGCTTGTTCACAGTTGCTGAAGAGATTATTGGGAAGATTAAATAAGATGCTTCTGCATGAGTTGGCCCATGAACAGTCACTGCTGGTTGTGCAGAGAAGTCTCCTGGTGCTGTTCTCAGATCATCTGAATGAAGCAGTTCAGCTTTGTTCCATAGCCGTTAGAGAAGGGGAGTTGTTCTACTTGTCTGTATCCACACCAGGCCTGGAAGTGACACTTGACACACTTTGATGTCCAGTTTTATAACTCTGTGTTGGATTACTTGTTAGTTTCAATAGCTGTAAGACTGGGATTAAAAGTTAAATGAAATATTCTTTGATTTACTTAGAGATGCTTTGTAATATTGTGATAGTCTCGGTTTCATTTGATTACGTTTTCTCTTTGAAGAGCTTGGACCACCTCTCACAGAACTGTAGTAGCCATCCAACATAAAATAAAAATCTGCGGTAAGGGGCAGGTAGTTTTCATTGCCGCAGAAGGATCAAGAGTTAACTCTGGAGTTTCATGTCTTATTTTCTTAAGTGTTCTTAGCTCTGAAGAGATTATTTAGTTACTCTGTGATGGAGGTACACATTGCACTTGTGTCTTCTGACATTGCTGAGTGTAGAAAAAGTTACAGTTTTATCCTAGAATTTTCCTTTTGTTGGGTCAGCTAGTGAATTAAGAATTTAAACTAACCTTTTAAATGAAATAAATGAAAGAATATCATTTTTAACCTTCTTAATGTATTAGTTTTGCTGTTAGTAATGTTACGTAGACAGCGATGGCAAATTATTATTATTTCCTTTTCCTGAGACAGGGTTTCGCTCTGTCACCCAGGTTGGAGTACAGTAGATCAGCAGTCCCAGCTCACTGCAGTTTCTGCCTTCCAGGCTCAAGTGATTCTCCCACTTCAGCCTCCCAAGTAACTGGGACTGCAGCATGTGCCACCATGCCCAGCTAGTTTTTGTGTTTTTTTGGTAGAGATGAGGTTTCACCATCTTGCCCAGGCTGATCTTGAACTCCAAGGCTTAAGCAATCTTCCTGCCTCAGCCTCCCAAAGTGCTGGGATTGCAGTTGTGAGCCACTCTCCTGGCTAATATTTTATTAGGGAATTAATGCAGTATTTCTAAGTCATTTGGTTCTCTGGGTTTTTTGTTCTTGTTTTTTTTTGTTTGGTTTTTGGACATTTACTGTCCATTGATGTGTCCGTGGTAAGATAAGCTAAGGTTAAATAGGATTTTGAAGTCAGTCACTATGGAAAAAGAATTGAATAGATGTGCAGGCTAAGATTAGGTATATATATATATATGAGCTAGATGTTTTTTGTGTATTTCCCTATTGCCCATATTAAAAAATTAGCCGGGCATGGTGGTGTTCAGGTATATATGTATGAGCTAGATGCTTTTTGTGTATTTCCCTGTTGCCCATATTGTGAAAATTAGCTGAGCGTGGTGATGTGTGCCTGTGGTCCCAGCTACTCAGGAGGCTGAGGCACAAGGGAGGTGGAGGTTGCAGTGAGCCAGGATTATGCTACTACACTCTAGTCTGGGCGACAGATCAAGACTCTGTTTAAATAATAATAATAATAATTTCAAAATTGATTTGTCTTCACCTTTTCTATGTGCATTTTTAATTTTTTTAGCTTTATTTTGAATTGATTTAAAACAATTTTTTTCTTTTTTTAGCTTGAGATTATATATTATTGTACGATTCCTTTAGTGTTTACTTAAATTTTAATATATAGTCTTGATTTATTGCAGTGTAGTGTCGAGACTTTCACCCTTTTTCTAGATAATGCAGTAAATAATGTAAGGCTTTTAAAAACATTTACATTCAGTTTCCTTTCTTATTTCATTATGGCCATGTTTTAAGATGCATGCGTATTTTAAAACCCACAGATGTATTTCTGTTGTTTTATGCTGCTATTATTTAATTAGACTTACTGCATTTCATTTTCCTCATTCTGTCTGACTTTCCATCTGGAATAATTATCCTTCTGCCTAAAGATAACATTTAGTATTTCTTCAGAGTGGATCTAGTATTGACGAGTTTTCTAACTTTTTGTTTGTTTGAGAATATCTTTATTTCACCTACATTATTGAGAGATGTATTTTGCTGGATGAATTCTAGAATTCTAGATAAGTTTTCTGGAGAAATTCTTTAATATTTTGGCTTGTTTCTATTTAGAAGTCAGCTGCAGTTTATTCCCTCTTTGTTGATAATTTGTTTCTTTCTCAGGCTGTTTTTACGGTTTTCATTTTGTCTTTGACTTTTAGATGATTTTCTGTCTCTGTTTCTCTCCTCCTCTCCTACTTGTACCTTTTCTTGTTTGTGGTATATAGGGCATTTTGATACTGTGACTTGATGTTTTTAGTCAGTTTTGCAAGTTCTCAGCCACTGTCTCCTCAGATACTGCTTGTTCCCGTTCTCTTGCTTA